TATCCATAGTGTTACTAAGGTATCAATAATTAACATGTATGAAACAGAGATTCAATCATCTGGTTGAATAACTGATAACTTTAGTGCCGAGGGATCAACTAGGTAAGACCTCAACTTACAGCCTGCAGCACAATGTTAATAATATTGTTTCATATATGATGTACCTACTGTAGAGCAAAAACTATGCACAGTACATTTCTGAGCGGCTGAACAAACGAGACTATCAAATAACATAATACCGGCAAGTAAACCGAGTAATGGCGAATAGCTGTAATGAATCGCACCTGTTTGTGTCATGTTCAGGTACGACAGATAGTAATGCACACAGCAACGACAAACGCACCGACCATAACCAGTGCAACGATAAAACGCGTTTCTAAAGACTTTTCCCTTATTAGTGTAAATACATAATTCAGCAATGTTAACAGTTAAGAAAGTGTAGGGACTATTTTCATGATCAATGTCGAACACGACTTAATACACGAAAGAGAAATTAAACATTTGTAAATCGTGTAACGTTTAATTTACCTGCTGGTTATATTTAGACTTTAGATCTTATTAATCAATAATACATCAAGTCTGAAACAAATATTATGCTGCTAATATTTATAAATGTGGCCCACGACAGATAACTGTTAATGATTTAACTGATCATTAAGCAAAATACACTAACAAATTGGGTTGCAAGTGTTAAAAATCATCATTTACATAATAATCTTAAATAAATTTGGGTATACATCATTTATATTAAGCACCTACGTCTATAAATAGACTTTTGCTATTTTAAAATATCTGCACAGTCTGGTGTTAATAGCTATAAATAAACTTTATCGACAATCTCAGACATTCGTTCACAGACGATCTCAACAAGATATGATTAATTTGATCGTTTAGTTGACTTACGGTAGTCAGGATATCACATTAAGCAATAAATTATTTTTAAATTCGACTACAACATCTTCATTCATTCAACATCCAGATGAAAACTAAATAAAAGTCACATTGAAAGTAAATCATAATTGATAAAATTTAATTTAAGCCGTTTAATTTTTTTTCTCTCATATTTTCTAATTAGCGGCGAATGTTATCGAATAAATCAATCGCCTTCGGTAACTAAATATTGTTTAAATAAATCCACCTGACATGACGATAATAATTATTTCACTAAATGTAAAACGTCAACTCTTAAAAAACAGGTATTAAAGTAGAAAGCATTATTTTAATTAAGAGAAAAGTAATAGATATTTTTATTCTTTTGAATGGGTCGTAAACTCAAAATGAAAACACTTATGTACAAATCATTTAGCCATTTTTCCTCGCTTTGTGACTAATTTTACATAACAATAATAAGAAAAAAGGTAAAAATAGGACCTAATATTCTAGATATTTAAATCGAAACATAAAATAGAAGGTCGGTTTTACTTGTTTAATTAAACATATTGTAACGGTTTATATCAATTATTCATTTTGTATAAGAGATATTTCAAGCTGTGAATTCCTGATTTATGATAAAGTATAGTTATACTACCGAGTAAGATAACGGGCGATAGAAACACATAATACAACTTTTTTTATAATAACGTAAGGAAAAAATGTGCTGTATGCCTAGGTAATAAAATATAGGTAAGGTTCGTAAAACAATAGAATTGTTAAAATTTAGCCATTAAAGATCGATTAAGATAACATTTACGTCTAACGAGGAAACGATTACTTTTCAACTAATTGTATTGAAGTCACCTAAAGATATACTTAGAATTGAATAATTGCGAGAAGGGATTTACCTTGCTCTTTTTCCACAATTTTTAACTTAAATATATTGCGAAGGTTAGCATAAATATAGGGATTTTAACTATTTTCTCAGTCACGTGAAATAAAACACTTGCTATTTATTATGTATGTTGTAGTAATTCAAGTACGCAGCAGCAAAAACAAATACTAGAAGCACAATTCTAAACTTCTAAAACGTACAGTATGACGATAAAGTCTACTAGTGTATAATAACCAAGAGTATTGTTTTACATGCCTGACAAGTTATTCATATTAAAATACCATTATCTAAGTCAAAACTACTGGATTAATAACTGTGTATTTGTATCTAATACGTAGCAAAATAAAATGGTCCGTTAACATTGTAGGAAATCAAAATAAACACCTTTTAATTCTTAGGATATTTAGTTTTGTCTATTTATGATTTTGTAGTATGTTAATTAAGTTATAAACAACGCAAATCCGGGCCACATGTCGCGGCTCTATAATTCCGCAATTAGAGTAGTTACATTTTTACATACACACATACATACACATGTGTAAACTGTGAACGCACTCCGTGATTCATAGGAATATAACTGACATTTGGCCAGATGACAAGTTACGATGAGTACAGGAAAAACTAAAGAAAAAGACAACGTATTAAAGTCTCACAATAAGACTTTAATTTATATTAGACTCAAACTAACATAATTTGAAAAACCAATACTGAATTCAAAGATACATTTTCCATTGATTAATTAAAAAAAATTATTTTCGAAAATTTCAATTTTTATTAAATACAAATTCTTATATTCTCAAATTCATAAATAAATTGATTATCATTGTTTTTCCATTCTGAGCTAACTCTAGGTTGAACTAAAAAATATTTACTTTCATAACTTTTCACATGGAGTTCAACGATACTGAGCTTACATTTTTCTCTCGTTTGAATACATAAATACATCCGCGCCGCTCTAATTATGATGGTTAACCCAAAAAACAATAATTTCGTCCCAAATACATTTTTTTTTTTTATAAAACAAAAGTGCTTACCCACCCGTATAAGCAATGTTTTTTTTACGTGAATTGGAATTTTACTTACAGTAATTATGAAAAAAAGAAAACTATTTGTGGTTTGAGTAACCAAAACAACTACAGTGGTTTCCTGGCCTTGTAAAATATGGTTACACGGTTCAAGTTGATGGTCAAAAAAAAGGTTTGATAAAAAATATAGACCAAGGTATTTTAAGAGTTAAGCTGAACAGTAAATAACTTAGACTAACGTGCAAGTACCGGAAGAGGCTGGGCTCATAGAAATACGGGCCCCGATCAATTGACAATAAATAAAATTACTTATGGACGCATATTAAGGTGTAGCTTGTCTGATAGTGGAATGCACTAACCAAAGTTAATACTATTTTATTACTTAAAACATCGCTCCCAGTAAAAGAATATAAACATTGATATTTTACCTTGGTCAATGTAAACATCAAAATCATCACGGGTCCCCTTTAGACAAGACTGAAATCCTTTACTGAATCTTCGTGTTATGGTTCCGGTACTATGTGCAGGACTAACAGGATGCTGCGTATCCGGTAAATCACTCGTAGTCGATAACATAATATCGGTGTAATTATATTTTACCAGTAAGAAAATAATACAAATGCAGAAATTAAAAAATAATAATAACTAACGCACAAAACAGATAAACATAATACGAGTGATCATAAAATATCGATGACAAAAAAATTATGAATATATAATGTTGTTATAAATACATAGTAAACGCGGTTACTCAATTCGTAACAGAACACACAAGAAACCTCCAAAGATAACCTAACAATACGACCGCCGTATGAGTACTGAAAGGCAAACTAAACGAGTGAAACCCAAATGAATATCAAACACCGCTACTGCTGCCGTGTGTCATAAAAAATAATATCAGCTAAGCAATGGTAGTATCTTGTCGCTCGAGTATGTTTCATATAGTTTGAAATTTTGAACAAATTTGCTACGATAATTATTTTTAGTGTAATAAGGTAATTAATATATACTTATATGTTAAAAATAGTATTAACTTTAAAGGTTAACAAACATAGAATTTAATGTAAACTAACATATAATTACAAATTAATTGTTTAAAAATAAAATAAAAATATATTTTCACTATAAAACTTTAAATTGTATAGATGAAATTATTTATTTTTAAATAATTTATTAGACTTCAGACTAATAATTTAGTAGGCAATTAAAAATAAAAGGGGGTCACTTCAAAGAGTTCATCTTTGATTTTACAAATAAAATAATTAACTCTAAAAAATTTATCCACAAAAGGTTTTTCATAAGTTGATAAATATATTATTTATATTGTACGAAAATAACTCTACTCACAAAACATAAAAAAAAAATTTTCGATTTTCTTTCAAATATTTAATGTGTTTTTATTTTTTAAATATATTGGATGAATAAATATAAAATATAAAGCTTCAGAAATAAAATGGTTAACATGACTTGGAGGAATTTCCTCTAAACTTAAACTGTTGTCAATAATTTTTGAACCTCCTGGAATTTTTTTCTTCGGGTGTTACATTTTTCCAAATTAATTTCTAATGTAGGTAATACAATAAACTACGACGCCCAATTATACCGTCTTCATTTAGAATATTACTTTTCTAAAATTTAAGCTATTATCCAAGTTTAACCTTTTAATTTAATGAAGGTTAATTTTTTTAACATTTTGTTATTGCCGTTACTGAAATTAAGCTTATTACCTATTAACTTAAATTTATAATCTAATAAATAATTTTTTTTAGAATCGTTACAAATATCATATACATAGTAATATTGACATAAACATTTTTATATTTTGTATTTGGTAATGTAATTTGTAAACTTTATTTAGTCCTGGAGTCCCATTTATAAAATATCAAGTTCAAAAAACATGTTAAGACTATCAACAATATATAATTCTAAGCAATGCCGTTATATATAATAACCCAATTTGATTTATCAATAATTTATGTNACCCAATTTGATTTCTCAATAATTTATGTTTTTTCTTATTAATGTTACAAGCAATAATCATAGTTTAGTTAAAAATGAATTTTATTCTTACCTAATGGCGACTGTTCAAACATAGGTCTTGAACNTATATATAATAACCCAATTTGATTTATCAATAATTTATGTTTTTTCTTATTTATGTTACAAGCAATAATCATAGTTTAGTTAAAAATGAATTTTATTCTTACCTAATGGCGACTGTTCAAACATAGGTCTTGAACTCGTTTCCCTCAAAGATTGGCTATCAGCGACTTGATCTTCATCTTCTTCGTCTTCTTCCAATAAAACTGGTGGTTGGTTAATTAGCTCATAACCCCATCGTTGTCGAAATTTTTTTGAACCTCCATCTAATCTTACTCGTGGTAAATCGACAAAGAGAGAATCACCGATCTATAAAAGAGAATCATGAGTTATTATGTATATATTTTTGATATAAAAATGCTCAAAAAAGTCTACAATTTTAGGTTATAAATAACATATTCATGCAATTTTTCAAAGTAAAATAGCGTGTTATTTATAAATTAGTTTGTTTAGTAGAAGTTTTTTAAAAGTAATTTTTAATGTCATGACAAGTTGATTAACACAAATTTAATTGTTATGAATATTTTTTTTTGGAACTCGATACAAAAATAAATACTCATCAAAAATGCAGTAAATCATTTTATATTACGATAGTTTAATTGTATTAGGTAATTTATGTATTGCAAACTTAACGGTGGAATATTGAATAAAGTAAAAAGATAGTTATTTTGAATATAAAAAAGGGACTAAATGTATCACTTATCCTACAACTTTTTTCTTTGAAAGAACTATTACTTATTATTTGCATGTTCATTAATATGATAATATTAATAATTATACTATTAATATCACATTAATTCTTTGTTCATTAAGTAGTGTACACAATTAATTAATTTAATAATATACCCAAATCATTAGCTGTTATCTCTAGACCAAATATATAAATCTTAGATCTAAATAACAACACATATAATTTTTAATCTAGTTATCATTTTATTTTTTTTTTTTTTAATAAAAATAATTAATTTAATTAATTTTTATATATTTAAAAAAAAAAATTTAGAATAAGTACTCATTGAGTTACAAGCATTTTAGTACATATAGTGGATATTTAATACGAGTGGTACCGCCGTCTATACTGGTACGTAGACTCTGTCCGTGACCATAATACAATACAAAAAAATAATAAATATATATTTTTTTCTTATTAGTAATAAATAATAAAAAATATACTTTGAACGTAGTTTATAAAGGTAATAATTATTTTTAAAAATTTCAATGAAATGATAATTGGAATAAATAATATAAGCATTGTTTGTTCTAGTGTTTGCTATCAAATGTAGGTATCTCTATCACAATACTACTCATTAAGGGCGTTCTAACACCCAAAATTTCCCTAATATTAATGCTATCTATTCAAAATCAATTATCACTTAGATAGCAATAATTTACATTTGTTTTGTATAGTTCACTAATTATAAATTATTACTAATAATACACTAATAAAAAATGAATACTTTGTTGCAAAAATCAATTCTTAGTCATTTTTTATTTTAATATTTTCTATTTAAATTAATAACAAATTAAATGACAACTAAGTATCTAAGACTTGTAAAAATTGTCAAAATATATACTATACAGCATAAAATATAATTTCATAATATGAGAATTTGTAATCTATAATAATCTTGATATCTATAAATTTGGCTATAATATGTAATATACTCTATTTTTTTAAATAATGCATTACATAATTTAAATGTTGTAAATACTTGAGATGTGATCGCTTAAAAATTCAGAGTGAAAGAACCTATTGAACTCAGTTTCATGATCGAAACATAAATTAGTTATATAATGAAATTCACTTATAAAAAGTCGTTTTAAAATTTAAAAATAACACTTCATTTGATTTTATTTCATAAATAATTCTTTAAATTAAAGCTTTCGATCCGAAAAGCGTAAGATTTCATTAATCTTTTAAATAAACATAATTTATTTAGCTGCTATTAAATTATATGGTTGTTGTAATCTGTTTAGATTATCAGTTTTAATATCAGATTAATTAACAAGCATATAGCTGAAAATCAAATGTATCTTTATCGTTAATACATTGTTTCAGCAAGAAAAGAAAAGAAATCTTCATTAATTTCTAAACATTCTTGCAAGGATAATCGTTTAACAATAAATAAATAAGTAGAAATTTCACTTTTACATCATACTTTACAAAGTCAAATATTAACAAATTTAGATATTAAAATAATATAAAATATTTAAAATACACAACTTAGAGTAACTCAATTGTATACAATCATTTGGAAATAATTTTTATTTAAACATAATCAACATCCCATACGTTAGTTATTACATTATGCGCATCACTTGGAAATTCTTGAGAAATATTGTCAACGATTTCCCCAATTAAAGATTCCGTAGTTCCTTCTATTTCTACTACTTCATTGGTCGGTGGAGTGTAATTTTCTATTTTTTCTTCTTCGGAATGAAAAACTTTTGCATCAAATTTAGTATTAGAATTATAAGAGGAAGTTTTTTCTTCATTACTGGAAATCCATGAAGACTCGGTTGGTGAAGATTTTTCTAGTTCATCGACGAATACCGAGTAAGATTCAGTTGTTATTTCTTGAGTTTGTTTAGTAGTAATGATATCACTGAATTCGGGTGAAATCGTAGCCTTAGTGGTAGTAATTGACTCAGTGACTGGGACTATTGTTTCAACATCTTTAATATCTTGCCTTGGCGTTGTATAAAACCATGCAATTGATGGTTTAAAGGGTGCTTCTTCGTTTTTTTTAGATTCATGGACGACAACGATAGGCATATTTAATTCGTAAACAACTGTCGGTTCTACAGTGGGCAAAGCAGGATAGTGATGGTATACATTGGCTAAAAGTTGTACAGAAATATTGTCATCGGGTAATACTTTTTGCTGTTGTTTATATTCGCTTCCATGAATGTTGGCCATGTGCAAAGCTAATAATTTATTGATATCATTTTCAGGAGTTAAGTCACTGGAGACGTCTGGAGTAGCCATTTCTTTTTCGAATGGTCCAGCATGTTCAAATAAACTCTTAAAATTATTTTGATAAGGCTTTTGTATTGCTGGAAGGGGTTGTCTAAATGCCCAAACAGGATGACGGTATGAGTCTACATTTGAATCAGGAACATGATTCATTTCTTCAGCCCAAGGCTCAATGGGACTCTACGTAAATAAATTTAAAAAAAATTGAATAAAATTTGAAACCAAATAAAAATAAATATATTACATGAAAATATCCATAAGGCATAGGGCCTAGCAGCGATCTTCGCCAACGAGGTTTAAGCTGTAAACAATGAAACAAATATAATTAAAATATTTCAATCTTCATCTAAAATATTTACCACAGGTTCCGGTCTTAAAAACATGTTGATGGGTTTAACATCGTCATTTATGGCATAGACAACTTCTAAGACAACAATTGTCAAATATAGAATTGTAAAACCTTTCATTTTCTAAAATCAAAACAATAAAAAAAAATATATTTTACTAAAAGGTTTTTTTTATTTTAAGCTAATATAACATTAACATTAATAATTGACATTTTCAGTATTTTATATTTCGGATTTAAATTAATTAAATAAATAATCATAAAAATATTAATTAATATATATATATATATATTAATTTATTTATTTACTTAAATAAGTACACAATAGAAGAGTTGGATTTATATGTTCATATATTATGCATATTACATAATATAAATGTATAGCTAATTATATTTTTATACACGCATAATATTTACTACAATAGAAAGGTCAAATAAAATTGATTAAGTTAGTTTGTTTTTTTACTAATACTTAATAAAATTTATACGATAACCTGTAAAAATGATTTTAAATCTATTTTATTTATTTATTGGATGATAAAAGTTATTTTACAGTTTAACATTGAAATGTATAAAGTAGACAAATATAAAAAAAATCCATTTTATATTATGTATTAATTAATAAAAAAACATAGTCTTATAAATTTTTTTAATTAAATTGTACTTTTTATGTATCAATAAAATTAAATACTTGCTTCATTGGTTCTAATATTTAACAATATTTGAAAAAAAATACGAGAAATTTATGTACTACAATTTAAAATTTAATTGTATTATAATTTAAAATATATATCAAAGTGTTAAAATTAATTAAGTTTGATAGTTACTGTATAGTACTGATTTTCAGATTTAATTTAATTAAAACTTATTACTTTCCTACATTTAATAATTAATAAGCAAAATAACGCACATACCTTTAAATCAATGATGTTTATAAGATGCCTTTTCAAGGTGCGAGTTTGATATGATGCTCAACTGTTGCAACTGGTGGATGATAATCAACTATTCACTAGAACAGTGTAATTTCGTCCAAGAAAAATAACATAGAAACGATAAACAAAAATTACTAATTATTGAATAACCTTTAATCCGGTCGGGTAGATTTACTCGATATATCGATTAATTCATTTCCATACACGTTGCTATTTTAAAAATAGTTTATTTTTTTAGATTAGTAACGCGCTGAGTTATTTTAAACTAAAGACTACGGCCTATAGCATATTACCTAATTATAATATTTAACTTTTATTTGTAAATTAGCCTTATAATTGTAAGACTATAATAGGCTCATATATAATAAAGTATAAATTAACTGGAATCACTCAAGTGTAAATATATGACAATGGAATGATCCAAACATTTTTATTAAGACGATTTTACTAACGATGACATTAGGAGAAAAATGTGCATGCAAGATAACCACTGGTATAAAAATATGTATTGCACTTATGTACTAAAAAATGTAACACGCGTTAAAAAACAAAAACATGCAAGTGTTGTTATAAAATAAACAGTACTAATAAATTTACCAAGTCCAAAAAAAGCTTAATTAGTTCATTGTAAAATTTTAAACTTTTTTTGAAAATTCTAAATTGTATAAAGCTAAAAAAATATTTCCATTAGCACCAACCTTAAAAGCGTGCGTTATTGTCCTTAGCGCAGTCCCCGGGAAAATCTAAGAAAAATAACGTTGTATTAGTTTACAACTTAAAATATTTCATGTATTCTAAAGCTTTTATTGATGTATTGCTAAATTCATAATTTATGCCGACATTTTAATTACATAAAGAGAATAATTAGTTTTGAATAAAAATATATATTTACAGATAATTCTTCACTTCTGTAAGCAGTGAGTGTTTGTTCGTCTTGAAGTAAGACGCAAAAGTATGGCTCCCAGGTAACAAAATTCAACTTTTTGTCCTTCACGACATTGGCTGGTCGATGACCTATATCCAAATCTCGGTCTAAAAATAAACAGTTTCACAAAAATTAATAAACAGTTTAAATATTTATATAACTTAAAGCTACACAAATTTTCATATATTTTCTATTGTTTCGTTATTTTATAAACATTACAAAATATGTTCCATGTAAATACTATTTTCTAATGAAAATATTTCATTAAAAAATTGAGTTTTATTAGTTCAAATACGGTACGCTATAAAACATACTACTAACATTACCTGGTGTTAAACTTCTTGATAATGAGAAGCGAATTTAAGAATAATTTCTCTTATAAGTGTTTAAGAAAAGTATCAATAATATTTGGAACATGGTCATATTCCACGAAAGCTGAAAAGGTAAATTTTTACAAAAAAAAAAAGTCGATTTATAATAATTTATAAAATGAATATAAACTATAGAAGAAAATACGAAATAAATATGAGGTAGATTGTGAATATCTAAATTTAAACATTTTCTAATTTTACCATTATTGCAAAAACGAATGAAAACGAGTTTTCATTAGTTATTATCATTTTTAAATAATCGGTAATAAACAAATAAGCAAATTAATTGTTTAATTTAAGCAAACTTTGTGCAGCTAATTTGTATAAATAAACAAAATTGAATTATATTTTCGAAGTACAAATTAATTTTAATAAGGCAATTTAATTTTATTTAATATCTTAAATTTGTTAACACTAAATTACATATATGTTATTAAAGGTTATTGGCTTAATAAACCTAAAGTTGTTAAAAACAATGATCATCACAAATTTCACACAACCATTATTAATGGTTTAACAAGATTATTTTTTAACTATCGGTTTAAATCAAATACTAGTGAAAAATATCAATCTTGTTTCGTGTTTTTAATAGAAAATAGATGATAAACGTTAGCGATGAGTCATGATAAACTTATTTCTATAAGACGATGTGTTTAACAACGATGATAAGCATGAGATTTTTTTTGTGCATAAATAAACCATAGGTTTACTAATTATATAAATAATAATTGAAATACATATAGATTGTTACCAACGTCATTTCAATTATATGGGGTTTAGCAATTTTTGCGAATCATATTGATTATGAGATAAAACCATGGATCGATAATTCTCTAAAAGTAAATTTACAAAAATATTTAATGTTATTTATAAATGAAAAATTACATGAACATTTTTACAGAAATCCAAACAAGATGCTGCTTTTGAAAAGATAATTCGATTACATTTTTGGACATTTAATGGAATTTCCCTTATTAACTGTCTCCTACCACTTATTAATAGAAATACGATTTTCGTAGAGTCAAATACAAATCAAACAACCTTAAGTATATTTTATATGATCCTTATGTTTAAAAATCACTTGATGAAAAATACATCTTGATTACATCAGCAAATTGATTATCGTTCGCAATTTTGTAGGTTCAATATTTAATTCGTGGAAAATGATTATTATCGTGCTAATATTGTTCTCTGGCAACGTAATACCAGCGTTATTGTTTTATAAGTTTCTCAAAAGCGACAAAGACGCAAACGTTATCTACAACAAATTATTTCAAGTAAAACATTTTATACAGAATGGTCCACAATGATTTGACAAATCTAATAACTTTTGATCTACTATACATTTTATATTACTTTTTTTTTTAATTTATGCATTATTCTTAGATTACGTTAAAACTATAATAAGAATCATAAAAAGGCAATAATTATTTTAAAAAAATATATTCAACGAAATGATAAATAAATGGTTCAAAAAATATAAGTGTTGTCAGTGAGAACTGAGACTCCTGTATAGGGTTTTGATAAAGAAAATAATATCATAAGTATATCCTTAATTAATCAAGTTAATAACTCGTCTTAAAATTGTTAATATCCCATTGTTTTGCAAGAAAAGTTGTAAAAATTGGCTTTTTTTAAAATTTGGAAAACCTTTTTAATTAAAACGAAATTATTTTTATTATTAATAACAAATAATAAAAAATATAATTTTAACGCATCTAAGAAAATATAAATTATTAAAAAGAAAAATTATTTAGTAGAATAGAAAATATTAGATTAACTAAAACATTATGGACCACCAGTATACTATTTTAATGTAAATTAAACACAAATCCCATAATGTTTATTAACATACTATTAATGTTTATAATTTAAGATATTAACTGGAGTTGAAAGTCAATATTTCGCTAGGTGATATACTACAAATTGATTTAATAAACTTTTGTATTTTACTAATTAAGTTTTTTTTTAAATAAAATTAGAAATTCAGTTAAGGTGCATACATGATAAAACCGATTAGAAACAATAAAATAATCTTGTGCTATTAATTTATAAGATAAATATTGACTACTTTATGATGGAAAATTTAAGCTCTATTAGTTATATCATATGCTCTTACCTTTATGACATTAAGATTTTATATTCCATAGTACAAAATCATAAATTTAAATTTGAAAATTTAGTTGGGGCGATAACGTAGTTGTGTTCAAAGAGTCAGTCATAAATACAGAATTAAACAATTTTCTTGAAAACTTCAAAATAATATATGACAAAATAAAGTTCACATAATTTTTTTTAATTGTATTCAAGAATGTACAATTTATATGAATTAAATAATTGAAATATACATATATTAGTTTTATGCTTATTTTTAATCTTTTAGGATATTTGCAAATTAGGACCTTTGACGGTAGATTTGCAATTTGTATGGTTTTGTTACAGTCTACGGGATAAATTTAAAAGTTTGAACGATTCGTTAATAAATTTTTCCGATCCAACATTAAATAAAATAGTATGGTCTATTGAAATATCAACACGAAAAAAAGGTAAAACATTTTAAGAAAACAGTAAAATAATTTATGACAAACAATTTTTTTTTTACAAACACTGTCAAACGGTTATAACTATTTCACAAATTTATCGATAAACTTATCCAACTCATTTATATTTTATGATACTTTGAGTATATAATTCTATAAGTGACTAAGATAAAAGTTCAAATAAAAATATTTCGTTACAGGGCAAATTCATTGGGCTCATGAAAAATATAAGACTTTAACAGAAAATGTTTACTTATTAAACAATGTTTATGAAGAACGAATCATGGTTAATATGTTATGTTATATGTTCAACACTGTTTGTGACCTATTTAATACACTTTCGGCATTCAAAGACGAAGAATCATCACGAATACTTGTCGTTGTATCTTTGTTGTGGGTTGTACATAACATAACAAGGATAACGTTAGTGTGTTTTGCAGCATCTGCAGTCATTCAACAAGTATTTTCTTAATTCATCTATTTAATTATTCTGTAACTTAAAACAATGCCTAGGATGAACGAGTTCACGAACTTGCTTTAGCAGCTGAAGAAGTATTAGTAACAAAGCACAGTCATTCCAATTTTGAGGTAACGTCTTTACATAAATACTGATGACCTTAAAAATGTTAAATCTATGTGTATAGCTGGTATTGTTCTAGATGAAACGTTTTTTGAGGCGTTTGATCTATACCAAAGTAAAATTTGACGTTTGTGGCATAATGAAATTGGACAAGTCCCTACTGTCCACAGTAAGGAAAAAATTGTAATTATTATATGAGATTCAACTTAAAAATACTGTTTTTTTAGGCTATGATTATGGTCATTTCTTATTTGGTTTTAGTCTTGCAATACAATTATACCTAATATCAATGCACAATCATTGTAAATGTATTTATAATTGTAATTGTGTAATTATACACAAATAAATGTTTTTTGTAGCTAAATTTTATGAATAGAATTTTTTCTTTCCAAAAGAAAATATGAAATTTTTATATAAATTTTACCGCTGTCCCTTTACAAGAAACCACTCACACTTTGTGAAGTTCATAATTCAAATGTTTTTACTTGGTAACGTTATTATTTATATACTTCATTTTAGGCGTCTCATTAAATTTTATGTGAATAAACTATTATTTTTACAATAATAGTTTAATTTAATGTATATCTTTTATCTGAAAAATACTATAGTTAAAAACTTAATTATATTACGATATATTATACTTTTTAAAAGTATTTTTAATATTTAATAATTTATAAAAGAGTCTTGGTTAAAAAAATAGTTACTAAAACAACAATATTTCGTTTTTTGTGCAAACCATTATCTATAAAATAGTAAAAAGTAAAAAACATCAATTGTGTAAATGAAGTATTATTAAAATGTGTAAAATCATGTATAAGAACAATGTCCAAATTTTGTATTGTTTAATTCAATTATTCTATATAAAGCAAACAATTAAATATATATAGAAATAATAAAATTATTAAATTAATATAAGATAAATAATTATAATCAATACATATCTAACCGGTAAGTTTTTTTATTATTGTTGTTTTATCATTTATCAACTGACATTGATTGACTAAAATAGTAAAATAATATCAAATTGGGTAAATATTCTTAAGTAATTGATTACTTAAAGTAATATAATTTAATTGATATGCAGTGCACCAAAAGTATCTATCTAAGCTTTCCTATCTAACGAAAATCATGAAGGTTGATACTTATCCTATGTTTAAAATTTTCTCCGTTGCCTATTATTACTCGATTATTTTCGGATGGATGCCCATTCATGTACCAAAAAATGCCAAAGATCGAGTAAGTATCTTTAAGTAAAAATGTAATAAATATAACAGAAAAATATCAACTAGGGAATGAGGGAAAACAATGTTTTTTTAAACACGTAATTGTTTTTTCAGTTTACCAAAAATTTAAACAATAATTTCACTTTATAAATCTAGTTTTAAGTCTGTTTATAAACGCTTAAAAAATTTAAATATAATGCCATATAAATTTAATGTCATGAATAGATTTATTTTTGAATAACTGATTTCCATTGTTTTTTCCGACGCATCTTTAAAATATATTATTTAATGGATCTTTATTGGTAAATTTTGCGTAGAAAAACAAAAGCTCTTGGTGTATACCTGGCATAATATCGTCAATATTTTTCATCATTATCCTGGTAGGATCCAGCGACATGACTAATAGATTAAGGCAAATAACAAAATTCCGGGGAAACATTTCATCAAGTAATGTAAGCGAAAACATATTCGTAAATTAGAATATTTTCCTGTGTTATTTTTTTCTTATACAAAAAATGTCTTCTTAGCTCACTGTACACGATCGTATTCAAATTATAGCTGGGCCTATATTTATTCATTCGCTGACAATAAATCAATTGTTTATTATTGTTACATTTGTAGCAATGCCATATCATTTGTTGGAACTTAGGAAAACATTTGATCTATTTAATTATTTTTTCAATCGACATGGAGCGATCATTGGTTAGTTAAAATACAATATCCTTCTTAACTCACGAGTTAAGTTTTAATATAAATTTGTATTTAAAGGAATAGAAGCTAAAATGAACACTATAGTTTATAAAGTTAATATGGAATTAATTTTACTAATAATACTCAATTTTTTACTATCAATAGCTTCGGTTTTAGGAAGCTTTAATCGTATGAGATTGTCCTTCTTTTTGAGATTCCTTATATCAGCGGTAAGTTTATGTGTGTAATTATGTTGTATAATTAAAAGATAATATGGCAGAGTCGTTAGCGGGACAGTGCTTGACTCTCTCGGGTTCGAATCTTGATCACTGGTAGCTTCATTAGGCGAGCGAGAGATCAGTTCGATGACTGGAGTAGTCATTCCTCTCTCCGGTGATGGACTAACCACCCGTACCGGAGTACCACTGCTTAAGAAAAATTCCCCAATATAGAAGGTCGTTATTGGCTTTTAATAGGATAATGTCCTGAAAAAAATGGAAGCCTTTTCGATATGTGTTCAATTTTGGTGCGTTAGTTCAACATTAGCAAAATGTTTTAAATGTCTCAATGATTCTTTAAGTAGACTTCATATAAGAAAAAATCAAGGTAAGATTTATTTACGGGAGTTGAATAAATTATAATACAATTTATTATATTATGCTTAATAAATCTGTTTTAATCAGCAACGGCTACGCCACCAGGTTTATTTCTTGTACCAGACCCTTATACATCACCGGCAAATATGGTTATATTTTTAAAACATATTAAAAATGCTCATGTCGATCTGTGTTCTATCATAGACCAAGTGAACAATGTTTATCAGGTAACTAAATAATGTATTATTACACAGTATTTTCTAAAAATAAAATAAAACTTTCTAATTGTTTTTTAGCTTTGATGCAAAGCTGAGAGGGTATTATTTTTACTATGACGTGTTTTTTTTGTCTGTCGCCACTATTTCTCACCGAACCGATTTCTTTTAACCATACGTCAAAATACTATAAATTGTATCTAGTTCAAGATATTGCCCTTAAAAATTGGAAAAATTTCTCTCATTCCATGAAAATGTGAAAAATTCCTCAAAAAATTTAAATGTTTAAAATCGGTAAATTTTGACATCTTTTACTCTTAAAACTGCCATAACTTTTTTAAAATTAATGTACCATAGCAAAATTTTGATCCGTTACCTACCCACAGGGGATTCAAAAAGCAACTTTTTTTTTACAAAAGTCAACTTTTTCAACTAAACATTTGAAAATGTTTCGGCAATATTGCTTCCTTTAAACTATGTTAATTTAAAGCTTATGTTACGTACTATAAACTGTAGTTTTAGCATGTAGTTTTAAAAAAATGTGTCTCGACGGCCTATCTTTTATGTGCAAATAGCAGTTGAAGTTGAATAAAAAATAGGAGTTGATTTTGATTTTGGAATAATCCACCAATTTTTTAAAATTAAACAATATCTACAGATTTACATCGAAGTGTTTCTTATGATATTGATTTTTTTTAATCACTGTCAGATATCATCTATACTTGTCTCAACTATGCAACGACCCCAATGTGCTACCGTTTTATAATTATAACTTTGCTAGTTTGATTAATTTTTCGATGTTCTCTTTGAGTTTAATTTTAAAATACAATTATTCAATGAAAATAAAAACAACTGAAACTAGATTAAAAGAAATTATAATTTTGAAATAAAATTTTCTATAATGTTGAGCAATGTTGATTTAATTACTATCTTAAATCTTAGGTGCTGAACTTACTATCCATTATCATTACTTTATTAAGTTTATTACCTCATTTGTTTGTATTTGCCATTACCATGGCATTTTCAAACTTCAGGATGACACCTCACATATCATTAATCCTGTGGCCCGTACAATACTTCATGAAAATGTTAATTACCTGCAGAATAGCATCCATTGCTACATCCGAGGTATTGAATATTCATATAAAATTTTTGAGTCTAAATACGATGTTCTTATAATTACAATATGTAATTCTATTTCTTTTTTTTTTAGGCTAAACGAACAAAAACACTTTTGAAGTCAGAAATTCATAAAAATCTCACGGCTCAAGAGAAATGTGAAGTTGAGTAAATTAATTATGTAATATGTTTATAATTATAATTTTAGTAGAGTAACCTTTGGTCAAGAAACAATACATAATATTTTAACAGTTTGGCAGAAATTACAATTGTTTTTCCCTTCGCTGAGTACTAAGTGAAACGTCTTACGTAAAGAGTAAACATGATCGCTGTAATGATCAATAGAAACTAATTCTGAGAAAAAAAATCTAGCTTGTGCTTTGGTACAAGGCTCGTGGTCCAAAGTAATATTTTATAACTATATATATTGTATTAACTGTGAATAGATTAGATGGGTTACTTGTTAACGCGTTTGGAAAGACATTTGATTTCTTTTTGACGTTTAATGCATTTCCGGTTTTTAACGATCATATATTTAGTGCAAACAAAATATCCATAGATCTCTTCTCTTTTATCACTTGGAACAGGGAGACATTAAAAATAAAATGCTTGTATACATATGTTAATCACAGAAACACGAAAGTCCGATAGTAATAACGAAAAATGCTGACTTATGTTTATACGCTGATGACAATGTTTTTTTCCAGATAAAAAGTTTCTTAGAAAGAATTAACAGAAAAAAAATTGAATTTTCGCTATGTGGATTTAGCATTTTAAATGATAAATATTTTTTATCTGTATGTATGCAAATGCCATTAATTTTTTTACTGTTTGAATAAATTTTTGTAATTTTTTTTAGACATTCGTGGCAGTAGCAGGATATTTAGTAATAATAGTTCAATCGTGTATGACGGTTATTGAAGAACAATATTCAATACATGAAAGACCGACAGCGGATACATTTGATGAATAAATTTAATGAAATTGAACGTTTGTTTAGAAAAAATTGTTATAAATGTTATATACTACTACTACATATTACTACATAAAAAACACAATACTGCTATTGAATAATCACAAAAAAAAATATTTCATTTAGTTATAAAATAAATACTAACTAATTGTAATATTTCTATGAAGTAATAAATAAATTAAGTTAATAACTATTAAAATAAACATTTAAAAAAAATATCCTGTGTAAACATAATATAAAAAGGTTTACTCCTCATACGTGTTATACACGCAACCAAACATACACACCAGATTATTTGGAGAGCAAGTTGATAGGACTGGCGCAAGTAATAAATAATGTTTTGTTTAATACCATCAGCTTATCAAAATACTACCAAATTTAAAGTATTGAGAATTATTAATATTTTGCTTATGTATAATTAATAAGAAAAGTTTTACTTTTATTAAACACATTTTCAGGTGAGATATTACTCATGTTATGGATTTTGTACTATAACGGTATTAGTTATAATGTCAAAAGACTTGATTACTTTGCATACTTTAACTCATGATGTCGCTTTTGAAACCATACCACTATACGTACATATACTGACAATATTGATTAGCAGTGGGTTTCAAATACAAAAAATGTCAAAATGTGTTCCTGGTGAGATTTAATAAAAAAGTTTTAAAACTAAAATTCCGTAGTTTCTTTAATATGGTATAAACTAATTTATTTCCATAAAATACAAATATTAAAACTACATTGCTTTTAAGTTGTTTAATAAGTATAAATTATAATTTTATAGATAAATAATTATTGATAATTATAAAATTGAACTTTAAAAAGATAATTTTTTAAAACAAAGAGAATTAAGAAAAATATTAATTTAGATGAAGAAAATCTCACTACTTTTCAAAGATTTTGCTGGGCTTTACCAATAATTTGTTTAATAGTTAGTCAAGTGGAACAAATTGTGAATGGTTCCCACAATCGTCCGGAAACTATATTACAGGTAAAATTCTTAAAACTTTTTAATTAAGTTAATCAATTATTACTTTATAATTTCTTGTAATTTTTATCTGGTGCTACCACGAGAAGAGAATTTTCGGATTAATTTCATTTCTATTCGAATTTCATTATTTCATGATATACGTAAAATTCAAAAATGACTATCAGAAATTGAACAATTGTATCAAAGAAGAGTGTTTCTCCGCAAAAGGTAAAGTAAAAAAAAAACAATAACAATTATTGGTATAAATAGGAGAAATGGCCAAGTAATAACCGTCTCAGGAAAAATGTAACAAGGTAACTTTACTGTGGTCATTCGTCTACTTTAGGAAATAAATACGGAAATACAGGGTCATATACGACAACATAACGCAATGCTTAAGAAACTTGAGTGTTGTAATTGTTGAAATATTAACACTTATAGGAATAGTGTGAGACAACTAATACCGGTCTATAGCAATAAAAATAATCATAAAAAGTGACAACGTGATATCTATCCGTGTAGTAATCCGATACGCGATTGACTGGGCTAAATCAAGTCAATATAACGACTGAAAATTAATACCACTAAAAAAGAAATCACATCGATAAAAAATTTGTTGTGAGATATAATTAATATGTTAGTATAAAAAAAAAACTATAGTATTTTTGAACATTTTATTATTAATACATCAAATGGAATTTTTTTTGATTAGCGTTTTTATAAATGATTTTAAACAACTTAATATAGAGTATGAATTTTTCATAGACCTGTTGACTATTAGAATACAAAGAAAATCGATGAATAAACGAGTTAGAAATGCGACCAAGATGTTTGGAATACAAGCTATTTCTGTAATCATGATGACGACCATCACGACTGCGTTTAAAATTCACCGAACGCTTAGATCCAACGATCGTTTCACCGTTATGCCGGCGGACTTGCTGGACTCTTTGCAGTGGATTCTACGGTTGTTTTTGTTATGCAAGGTCTCCAGAGACGTCGCAAAAGAAGTAAGACCAAATGATTCGACATAAATAACCATATAATAGGCATACAATAGCTGTTGAAAATTAAGAAACGTTTTATAAAATCATTGTAACATCATAAGAACTATTATATGTTCAACCAAGCAGAAATTAGTGTTAGCGGCTTTCATTCAATTCAAGTCATTTGACTTTAAAATAGTTAAAAGTTGTAGGCGTCACTAGAGAGAAATTTTAAGATAATCTATTTTGCTGTTACTCTTTCTTACAAAATGTTACACCTTTCTTTCGTACTGCTAACGTAACAGTCATTGCTATAAGTTAAAAAAACTTTTAAAGATTGTTCGTTATTATCAACTCGACTCATATCGTTGGACGCAGCGGTTTTAAGTATTTATTTTAATATATTTTATGGTATTTAACAGCTTTAAGACGTGCTTAATTTGTAAATATATAGTAAACACGAATTTATGCTGAACTACAATATTCAACTAGCTATTAGCACGACACAACAAACAATGTATTTTTATTTTACATCAGTAGTATTTCCAGTTAATTTCTTATTTTTCGTATTAAACTTTAAGTCATAAATATCCATTGTAACATTTATCCCTCTGTACTTTGTCTATTTTTACAGGCCAATGATATTGAAACTCAACTTTTGAATTTAAACACGGAGAGTGACGAAAACTTTGACAATGAAGTAAATACACTATTATTTTAATAAGAAATTATTTGATATTAGATTTTCGATGATCATCGTGATAGATAAAAATTCATATTATTTCATACGAGTAGACATCCTTGTACGAAATCTACAGTCGGTGTGATTTGATCGAATAACAAAAACAGCACCGGCTTCTTTAAATGACTGTCTTAAGGCTGTCTAGATACTGTATGTGCATTCTATCATAGTTTCAGGGTCGTTAAAATGTATCAACATTTTTTCTATTTATAATTTCTTCGAGTTACGTTTGTTATAAGATATATTGTGATAATATAAAATTATACAATATATTACCGCATTTATTAGTAATAAAAGACAAGTCACAGCAACAACAAACACAATGTGTATTATTGTGATTGCAGGTCTCGTTCTTTCTGTGGGAAATCAACAATCCACCAATGGAAGTTGTTGTGTATGGTTTGTTTGTGCTTGACCTAAGGCTATTGGTATCGGTAAGTATCTCCGTACCCGTACTAACAAAACCGTTAATGGTACCTGAGTTTCTAGGTGATATCTTGGTGTATTGGCTTCGTCTTGATATTATTGCAGTTCAGATGGCCAAGAATATACTGACATTGGAGTAGAACCACAACACGACATTTGGATGACACAAATCAAAATACTAATTATGGAACTAAAACATCAAGGCACTTAAGTAATTTAACGAGTTGTTCAACTTCAGGCTAATAATAGAAATTACAATATTTGTATAATTTAAGGAACAAAATAAAACAGCAAAAGTATTTTTTTTCCGATAGGTCAAAAAATATTACAACAACTTCTATTGGTAGAGTCTTTATCTTAAAATACTCGGACCATTCGACTAGAACGACTATACGAATGTGTCGCATTATTAAAAAACGACAATAATATTTAACTTAATTTTAGACCTACAATTATTCATTGTATTGCTGACAAATCGAATACTTTTTTTGGACATAACATTTAACAAGTAGACTATTAATTTGTTAAAAATGTCCATATCAAGTACACCACGTCTCAGTCGTAAAATTTTAATGAGTTTTTAAAAAATAAAAGTATATACAAAATGATTCCATATCATTACTAGAAAAAATTTATTACTTCATAGATAAATTATAATGTGTACTGAAATCATGTGAAACTGTGCGCTTTTATTTAAGACGGTACAACACGAACCAGAANAACTGTGCGCTTTTATTTAAGACAGTACAACACGAACCAGAACAATGTAATAAGAAAAAACAAACAAACAATTTATAATTGCGTGATGTAATATCCGTTAGATATATTTGATAGGTAATAACAAACTGTTTTACGTTTAAACTATAAAAGCCGTAACAATTAAGTTTAACACGTGTATTTTCTTCGATACTTAACTATACTTGTAAGCTTAATGTACACAATAATGTATTAAAAACAAAAATAACTCGTTAAGTCAAGGAGCACTCATCAATTTATCATTAGTTACTGCATGTTAATGACAATAGATAAATTCAACCGATGTATACGCCTTAGAAATCTTTCACGGAATAATCATTTAAATGATAATAGTAAAGATAATAATGTAATGTATCAATAATTATTTCCTAATTATATTTCACTATTGATGTTCTAATGTATAGTAATTAACTTACTTATTATATCAAAATTAAAATAGAAAATATAAGATTTTTAAATTATTAGATTAGTTTATAGAATTTATATTCAAAATGTCTAAATACATTAATTATGACTATAATACAAGTTTTTTTGCAAAAGTACACTTATACACAAAATATTTTTTTTGATTTTTATGCAATTCTTCATTGTGGTTTTGACTACAAGCAAACCAAAAAATCTGTACAAACAATAGTATATCTTGCGTAACGAATCGTTTTAATGATTATTATGTCGCCAAAAACTATAAAGTATTATTTTGGGGAATGCAAAGAAATTTAAACAGTTTTCTGAATTATTTTAAGATTCTTTAAAAATTTGATAAAATTTTTTAATTTTTAAAATTGATTTATCTCGAATAAATAATCGTTTTCATTGTTTTATTATTTCGTATTTAACAGTACAAAGACAAAACACTAAATATTCAATGCTTTTATTAAGGAATTTATCTTATAAACATTTTTATGGTATTTTTTTTACTAAAATACACGCCAAACTTATCAGAAATACAAAATGTAGTAGATAATTTTTTTAAATATATTTAAAACCGTTGCGTTTTACTTTTTATCAATAAATATTGTAATAGAATACAAACATTAAAGTGTCAACCACAATGAGCACAGGATTTATATTTACTTCAAGACATTAATAATAGTTTAAACGAGTCTCTTAGTGTAACGCAGCATCAGTAAAAACCTAGTTGGCTCAAGATCAAAATACCAATTAATAACCCAGATGTTTGGTGTACGACAAGATACGAGTTAAAATTGCAATTAACAGTAAAAATTGTAGGAAAATATTTCAGCAGTCAAACAAATCAACTGATTATAATTTATTTAATTGTAATTTTTAACAAGTTTAAGTTATTAGGAAAATCGCAATTGACCGACTATGCCAAATAACTTTATTGTCTTTTGTAAAGATTATTTTTAATACTGGAACACCATAAGGTTTTTTCATATAGAAATACTGGTACAACAAATTACTATTCAAATATAAGGAGGAATTGATAAATTTTTGGAACGATCATTTCTTTGTATAAAATACTAATGTATTCATAAATCTATAAATCGTATGAAAAACGTAATCGCGAAATCTTTATAAATTTACGCCCACTAAACGTGATATTACTTATCATCAAAACAACATTCTTGTAAATAGCAATTAACATCATATTATACATCTCTCTAGAAAACATGTAATCTCGCGCGTGTCACAAAAATATTGAAGAAGACCACATACGTTTGTACAAGATATAGTGTATCGTTATCTGAAATCTATGTGCAACATCATCTGATGAATCTTCACGTGTTCTCATAGGTATTCTGCTTAACAATTGTCTATTTATAGCGTAACGATTATGAAGGTAAGATAAAATCACTTTCCATTGCATAGGATAGAAATATTAATTCGATTCTAGGAAATTTGTTCAACGTTATTTAATCGACGTACACGACATTATTTTTCTCAATTTATTTTCATGTCAAACTCGTATTACTCGACACGTGTGCAATACATTAGCATCACAATTCTAATTTAATACTAAAAGTTGTCTCCTAATTATAGGAATTCAAAGTGAATTTTATCAAAAGTCCAGATAAATATATTCAATAAGAAATAGTTGGTAATATTTTGGAATGCCGTTGAACAAAATACAGATTAAGTGGAAAAAATTCAGCAATAAAATAAAATCATCATAATAAAATTGATATGTTCACAACTAGGTATGCAAAAAGGACGAGTATGAATGTTTGCCGGAGGATTTGTAAAACTACATACCTAAATGTAGATAAACATTTTATTTGATGACTAGAGTTCGGTGATATTAATTTATAAATCAATATTTCAATTAATATAATAAATAATATTTCTGTCAATTAACATAAACATTAAAAATATCCCACGATTGGATCTTACTGATTGTAACAATTAATATGGAAATAAAAAAAAAACAATATTAGTAAATATATTCACACAGAACTTATATTTAACATTTAATTTGCTATAATGTTAAGCATGTATTTACGAGTTATTAAAATTGATATTAAATGGGTAAACACACCATAGGTACAGTTTTTTTAATCGTTTTGTTTGCCGTATAAAAAGGTTGTAGGTTTCAAAACAATTCGACCACATAACTGTTGTCACTAAAATTAATAAAACAGCTGTGTACTACTAAATAATGTTAATTAATTATTATGTCTCAGTAAAATTGAATGGTGTTTAAACGTATTATAAATTATTAAAAAATAGCAACTAGATGTTATGAGACTAAAACACGCAATGTGTTTCAAATGCGAAAATTGTTAAAAAAAAAATACTATATCCTGTTAAAAACAAAAATTCATAAATCTATATGTTTACAATTTTAGCATATTGTAACCAGTAATTAATTAACATATATGAGTGTAATGCCGAAATATTTAAAAATTTACATTTAGTACTTTCAGTGACACATATAATAAAAAAAGAAGAACGGACAACTCAAACCGTTATAATACGTACTAAAAAAAATCATTAATTTATAATCATTTTCATAAAAGGTTAAACAATTCAGTTGAGTAAATGATTACTAATAATTTTTATAGTATTATCAATACCTAATGTTAAGGACTTTTTAAGGTTTTGTAAAAGTTAATTAGTTGTCTGTAAGTAAATATATTATTAATTATAAAATGTTCAACTAATGGAAAATTTGGACGGCTTTTATACATTGACATAGAATTTATCTCAAGTACAGATTACTTAAATCAAGAGTAAAATTGAAACAGTACTTTTACAGATTAATTGAATTTTTTCAATACTAAAATAAACTAGTTTTTTTATGAAATGAATATCGTCCAACCTTGAATTTTATCATAAGGATACTGACCCAATAGCGCTTACGAATATAAAGCTCTTCATGTTTTTATTCAGATTTTTATCGCACGAAATATCGTCTCGCATTCGTGTGTTACTAGAATAGCTTTTGTGTGTGTGAATATATACATAAGTTTTTTAATATAAAAACAGCGTTGTGTTTCGATATGAGTACGGTAAACACCGCTGGACTTGATTAACGTATGAATACACCACACCCCGCACACAATGTAATATACGCAAATACTGGGTCACAACTAACCTTAGACGGATGGAGGTCATGCGATTATGGATCAACCGAAAAGCAACGTGGACACAAGAGGGGCCGGTACTAAACCAGAATCGGAAATCGAGTCTTCGCTATTAAACACCTCACCATAGTGACGGTTATATTTTTTAAGGCTACAATACTTCGTGTGTAGGAAGTCGAGTGTACTCCTCTTGACGAACGAGTGGTATTGGGTACGTCTCTGAACGCATAAATTACCTATTTATTATCCGTTAATATAACCAAAGAAAAAATAATTACATTTACACGACACATTCACTATTTTATTGATACAACAAAAATACAAATGTATTGATAATGTTACTGTGACTATTCAAACGATTATAAGCTCATTCAATAGGCCATCAAGTTAGTTGAATTAAAAGCAAAAAAAAGATAAGCTACAGATTCAATACCGCTAAATAAATACTTTCAACAAACGGTGTTCACGTTAACAAACTGTTCACGAACGTGATGTAATTTGTAAATACTTAAAAGTCAAAACTGTGTTTCGTTTAATTAGACTATCCGACCCACTTAGACGAGTCTCACTCGTACTAACCAATACATAAGGTACTCGCTGCTGAAATTTCTTAAGAAGATGACAGTTAGTCGACTTATGAATTCCACAAATTTTCAATATTAATTACTTTAATCAATAACGCAATAAGGAAATGTATTAGAGTCGCACCCACTTTCACATTTCCAATAACCGTTTGGTTAATAATAGATATATATCAGGCTAATATATCTGCTCGTCTCGACTCTCGATAAATTAATCGAAATTTTCTTCGTTCAGTTACATCGGCCATAATTGACTTACAAATAAATTAATGTTCTGCGTTAGAAACAGCATACGTTATTATGGGGTACAATGCTAGTGTAACGGATAATTAATTTCCAGGTTATAGGTACTGCCATGTAACGGAGGTTAGTAAAAATAATTGTAAAAAAAATATCTTTGGTGTACATTCTCTACAGCCTTGCAGGGGTATGCATATTATATTATTACTATTGTATCATGTAAACTCTTTCTGTTATATGAAGCGTCACACTTAATGTACTTGATATATTGAATAATATATAGTGATTTTTTTAATACTACCTACTGTATTTCACTTAAAAATAATATTTTATAAATATTATTTATGTTAAAAAACTTCTTTTGGCATATTTTAGTATCAAATTCTCGATTTATAAATTATGAATTAACCTCCTATATAAGATACCAAATACCTTTTTTAAATAAAAACATACATATTTAGCTAGTTGTAAGTATAAATAATGATCTAATTAAGAAGTTATAACTATTTTAAAATATATAGAGTGGAAGTGAGGTGCATGTTATGTTTATAATTTCGTATTACTCTGTCGCGCTCTTCCTCCGTTCTATATTTGTTTAAATGTTGATAACTTTCAAAATTCGGGTTCTACTAGTAGTCATCGACCAGTCGTTTTCTAAATTAGATCATTTTTCATTTTTGAAGCTAGTTAATTGTGTATGTCACCATTAAAAAAAAAAAGTTGACACGCTTATAAGGTATAAGGGATGAATTAAAAAAATATTTAATAATTGGTAAACCAAGAATTATGAATAACTAAAGACATTTTTTTTAGCATAATTATTATTTAAGAGAAATCTAGTTGCTTATATTAAAAAAATCACCCTCTATAAATTTGTTATAGTATTTTTCTCTGTTCTCCAAGAATAAAGTACTCTCGTGAAACTGCAATAGAATGTACACATCATATATTATATATTGACTGTGTATAGATGTTTTTTAAGCTCTCTTCTATGTCAAATGAATTTTTATACTGCTATTATTCTGTACTCATCTTAATTTCAATGATTTCGTTGTACAAAGAAATACTCAACATTGTAAACCGAAATTCTACCGGTGTTTAATATCTACAGCATTAGTGGCAAATAATATACTACATAAATTGTTTGTAATTATGCATATATGGCGTATTTTATTTTAATGGCTGCTTGATAGTTTATTGAAACCTTTTAATTATAAAAAAAAATACACAAAACAATCAAATTGCTATACTAAATGCATCCATCAAACATATTAGCTATAGCAAAATCCTCGTGCCCATGAAAACTTTAACAGTTAGAATCTTTTATTTAACACCTTATAGTTAAATGGTAGGAAATCTGCCGCCGGTCTTCTACGCATTAAGTATGACTATTTGAATAGTTAGAACAAAATGAACCATTTTATAAACTAAACAGATAGCGTCATCATTTACTTGACTGTTTTTAACCATAATAATAAACAAAATTATACCGGGTTCATGACAGGTTAATTACAGTTACTTAAAAATTAAACATAAGTAATAAAGAAGCATCAGTTATCTCAACATATCAAATATATCAATCAAAAAGTTTTAATAATATGTTGAAAACATGTCCCTTAGAGCAATGAGCAAGTTATCTTTTCAAATGGATTGCATATAGTTTAAAAAAATAACTAAATTATTAAGTTCACATCATATATACGTAAGGGCCTTTTAAACAAAGCATGATATTTCTTTTGACTTCAGAGGACAATGAGTCGTCGTCAACTATTATACAGCAGTGCATCTGGTAAAAATCAGAATATTGGCTTGAGGGTGTGCAGAACCGGTTGACAACTGATGTCGGCCAATTTCTATGTTCTTTAACCCGAGATTCTTGCATAATTAATTTTTTTTACACCAGACCTATTGCACTTCTTAATGTGCAGAGGGCAGACACATTCTATTATTATAGTCTATCTCAGTAAACGTTACACTTCTCTTTACTATACAAGGTGGTTTTTTTATAGCTTACGGCATTAGCGTCCATCAGCAGTTAATTTATTCAGGCAAGGGGTAGTTTTTCACAAATTATTTTTCATTTTGCATATCAATACATTACAAAAATAACGTTTTAACATCTATTTTTATATAATTTGCTGCAGTATTTTTTAAAAATTTTGTTCTCTTAGTAAGTGTCCATACAGAACTTTTAACACATGAACTTAAAAAATAAAATTCTTAATTTGAAAAATGTACTTTTGATACTTGTTTTTTTCTATGATTAAGATCATAATTAAAAAGTAAGCATCGCAAACACAGTGTATATATAAGTATGTATTTTTAACGAACGATAACAAGTTAAATCGGCTTTTGAGGTACATATCCTCAAGCGTATGCAATTATTTTATTAAGTATTTCCTGGATAATAAGTTTCTGACATCACGAATGTTAAAACTGGTTCAAACATCAAATCAACCATACTATGATTTGCATATTCGACAAGAATTTACAAGGACTAGAATAACTAAATTTATAAATAGTATCTAAACTAATACATAATATATCGATTGAATATGAAACAGTGAATGAATTTATTTTCAGAGGATCTTAGTAAAAAATCATAAAATATAGATTTAAACACGTTTTAAGACTTGTTTTAATACGTGTATTGTTACGATAAAATCTCAACATGATAATAATTGGAACAACATAAATATCATCACGAAAAAAATAGTTCCAGATTAATATAACATTGCTTATAAATTTTTAAATATCAGCATATCCTAAAATGCATTTTAAGTATTATAATACGTGTAATTATATTAACGTAAGTATCTTATATTAGTATATACATGTATGTTATTATATTTTATAAGATAAGTTTGTGTAACAAGGCTTAGCTAATACAAGCTAGGTATTATAACTCGCACTTATTTTAAATAAAAATTTATAAATTTTATATTATACAGAGTAGTTGATGAAGTCTGACGCAATATCTTTAAAAGTACATAATAACATATCACCATTTTCCAAAATCTTATAAAACTGTATACTATAATTAATAAAATAATATATTTCTAACTTTTCCTCTTACCCCTACAAGAAATATATAAGTTTTTTAATGAAAACCTTGCATTAAATACAAGGTGATTAATTGATTGGTTACAGAATAAATCGTATAGCATAAATTCTATACTAGTATATTAAAGATTATATTATATTTTTTATATAGATGCTTAAATAGTTTATTTTATATTTAACAACTACAAAAAGCAACCAATATCTTTTTTTCTAACTATGCCAATTCCTTTACACTTCCTAATCTTTTTTAAAACCAACAAAAGTTATTAATTTTTTTTTTTTTTTTAATTAGTTTTTTACATTTTAATAATCAATTAATAGAATTAACAAGTACACAAACTAGAGACCTTGCGTATTTGGCCTAATAAAACGCATAATAATTTATTAATATTAAGATACAATGAGAATTTTGTTAACATCAATTTTTTTATTATAATTGAAATCTTTACCGTGTATGTAGTCGTGCACAATTTTACTGTCCGTCTCGTCTATCATGTAAACGTTGGGCGAAGGAATACCCCGTCTGAAGTCAGTACCCCTAAAGAAGTCCAGCGAATACCGACGCTTTTGACAGCGTATACACCGACAGGATCCGCGCATAGACGGTTCAAAGACGGGTGGCGAAAGGGATCGCGGGGGTGACGGCGATGTATGTCGTCTACCACCCGAAGAACACAGCGAACAGCACGAACAATCGTCTTCGTCGTTCTCGCTACAATAATGGTCGTCGTCGTCGTCGTCCGAAGAACAACAATCGGCATCGTCGTCGGTACAACAAATGTCGTAGGGAGGGTCGAGATAATCGCGCCACGAACCCCGTACGCGGCTAGCATACGGCTGTGGCGATCCGGGTACCCGCAGTTCTTCGCAACACTCAGGCACAGCAGCGGTGGCCATAGTTTTAGGCGAATCGGTCCCGGCGGCGACACAGAGAAAAACGCACGGCTGCTTTCCCGGCAGTGGACGTAACGGAATCTGCGATACGACTGGACCGGCTTGCTTCGCACGNGTAACGGAATCTGCGATACGACTGGACCGGCTTGCTTCGCACGTATTATCACAATACACTGCACCGACGGCGGCGCTAGCACCTGATACCACATGTTGCCTCTAAGGTCACGGTGAAAACCGGTCGCTTGCTATGAGGACTTATAGGGAGGGCATAGATTTGGAACAAATCGAGAGGTGCTGTCTATTTGGTAGAATTTTCTTTTATCAAAATGAATCATAGAAATTTATTTATAGAAGACGTTTTAAACGTAGAATGGTAAATATATTAAATTATGAAAAAGGAACCTAGACAGTTTTTAGTGAATATTTACAAATATTAATTGTGAAATCCATTTTTTTTTTTTATTAAATGTTTAAATATTCTGAAAAATAGAACAAATAAGTTATAAATGGTTTAGTACAATAATCCTAATAAAATAAAATAAAAGGACTATTTGTATCACTTGTGACTGTTATTATTTAAAATAAATATTTATTTATAAAATTTTTATTTTGAATAAATGGCAATTTGAATTATAAATAGCTAAGATGGAAAAAAGATAATAAAACAAACAATTATTATTGGGGTACATTAATTATATATTTTGAAAATATTAAATATTTTATAAAGATAAAATGAAAAATATATAAAAATGTACGTACATATGTTGATTTCATTCAAAGATATTATTTATGTTTTATATAAAAATATTAGGGTTATTATAAATAAAATATAATTATATATTATATATTTATTAAAATATAAAATCAAAACACATTTTTACAACTCTTTGGGTTTTATACATCGTAATTGAACCATCAGGCAAGGTTAAGAGAAAATGTTGATCCATGGAGTGTAACAACGCAAACAGATTTTAATTGCAATAGTATATCTTTAAAAATAGGCATACACAGTGCGTTATCTATTTATGAAATACTATTTCAAAGATTACTAATTGCTTTTTAAACTCTTATGGTTTCAAATGAAAGCGGAAAATGATATTTCAAAGTAAAATTCTGAATGAAAAATGATTGTAGAAAATATTTACTCAGCAATCATCTATAATATAATAGATGATAAGGATATTTTATATGTGTTTTGTCAAAACCAAAGTATGTTCATATCATTTTGATTTAAAAATCAGCCTTCGTATCATTTTAAGAAATTAATTAACATATGAAAACTTATTATATTAGTGTTATAGGAATACATAAGTTTTATTAATTAATTAAACACACTCCGAATGTATACATAATTTGTAAAATGTATAGTTACTATGTTTAATTATTTAAATAATTCATTATATTACCTTGATAATAAAGCTAAGAATAAAATAAAACAGTTTATAAAAGAACAGTAGGCGATCTATTATTTATTTATTTTTTTACAATTTTCATGAAGTAATATAACAACGAGTAAAACAAAAGAAATCGTTATTGATTAATAATATTAATTAATCGTTTTTGAATTTAAAAATAATACAAACAACTAAGTTATTAATAAGTATTAAAATTAATGAAAGGTATAAACAGGTAAAAATTCTTATAGCCGAATAAATAATATTTGTTTAAATTATGATACTTTTAAAGATGTTTTTTGATAGTGTTCACATTTATTGAAAATTTATCATATAGAAAGATTTAATATTGTTGAGAAGTAGGGGGACGATATCCTCACACGAGGCAATTTAGAGTGCGAACGAAAATGATCGTGTAAGCTGATTGAGCAAAGGCGTTTGTATCAAATTAACTATAATATTTTTGTTGGCATTTATAGAAACATATATTTCTTGATTTATTACTTTTATCTTATAAAGATATTTAAATTATTTTAAATGGTAACATTCTTATTTAACTTTCATGTATTTAAACAGAAAATGATATAATTAAAAAAATAACTTTTAAAACAGTACTTCGGAAGTTATTAACATAAAATATTGATTGGGTGTGAAGCGAAGTTATGACTATTTTTATCATAAGCCAGTTCTGTGCTGTATTTCTCCCCTGTCCTTGTATCAAAACGAGAATATTTTTTAATTTCGATACGAAACTTAGAAGATATTAATATACAATAATGACTTTTTTTTATGTCTGTTGCTACTTTTTCTCAACTCACTCTGAACCAATTTTTATCAACAATTCTTCAAAAGATCACAAATTGTATCTAGTTGAAGACATTACATTAAAAAATTTTAAAAATGTCTTTGTTCTCTGTAAATGAGAAATCTCCCAAAAAATATCGATTTTAAAATCGATGTAAACTTCGTAATTAACACATTTTTTTTTATTTAAAATTTACATAACTTTTAGAGAAGTGAATGAATTAAAAAATTTAATTTTTTACTTGGATATTTTTCTTTCATTTGGGATATATTTTTTAAATATTTGTCTCTTTACCTGCCCACAGAGGGGATTCAAAATAGCAGCTATTATACAAAAAATTAACATTTTCAACTTAACTTTTGAAAATGTTTCGGAAATACACCGATCCTTAAACATATGTTAATATTGAAGCTTATGTTACGTTCTATATTTAAAATAAAATTTGTCTAGACACCACAGACACATTGTTACACATACGTTAACAAAAAATTTTATTTTGGTGTAAAAAATCACCATTTTTCGTGTTATAATTTTTTATTTCTATTTTTTTAATTATTTTGTTTATATTTTAAGACAGATGGTAGAGTTGTCATATAATAAAGAACGGTAATTACACCCATTAAAAAAAAAATAATTTAAGTTGATATATTTTCAGAGAGAATTGTTCAGCTTCAATCCAATATGTATATTAAATGGAAGGGGGCTTATGACAAATCTAGGTAATGAAATATATGCCAACTTAATATATTTTTATAATTCCTCCGTAAAAATTACAACATTAAATTGTTAAATATAAATTTCATACTAAATTTTATTATTTTATGTATTTATTCATGTATTATACCTAAAAATCATCAAACATAGAATCAGGGCAAACTATTATATTAATAATAGAAGTTGATGTTGCTATTGGAATAATTCCACAATTCTTTTAAAAAATTATACACTGGCAACAAGATAACTTATTTAGGTTATAAACTATAAACTAAAATTTATGATTTCCGTTAAAACTTTTGTTTTGGTTATACAGCGCTACCTGTTAGTTAAACATTCGAACTAAAGTACGCTCATTTCAGTCACAGGATAGCATTCCTAGCAACATCATATTTTTAGTTTAATAAAACGGTGAGTATATTAGTAAAAATAAAATAAATTTGTATTTTAAAATGTAAAATTACTTGAAATAACCACTATAACAGTGTATTATACTATACAAGTAAGACAAAAACATACTTAAAAACAATAAATCGGTTTTTTTATTGAACTCTGATGATATATTTAAGGTTTTCTCCTAAATCTAATATACCAAAAAAAAATAATTTTTTATACTATATGTGTAATACGAAAGTTAATCGTCAACTTAAAAGTTAACATTAATGAGTTTCTGACTAAATACGAAATCGATAAGTTTATTTAGCCTTGAAAGAGTCTTCTGTTTACGATAAGCAACACATATTTTTTGAAGTAAAATTAAAAGATAAAACACATTACTTTCTATATGTTGATACAGACATAAACAATAAACTATTGAGCAACGTATTAATTAAACACTAATAATAACAGTATAATGATAACATTTTAACAGGTTAAAATGGTTACAAAGACTATGAAAATTAATGTTCATTAAAATCAAATATTCATAGTAGTTGAGTATTTAAATTAGACAATAGTAAATATACAAATTGCGCATGACTAAAAATGGTCCCAGCATGAACGGTAAATCAAAGATGAGATCATATACGTTGCCTTGTTGTTAGGATAACTTTTACACGACTGTAACTTAGGTATTGCACTGTACTATTCTATGAGTCATAAGTGCAACTGGTGATCATTAACCACAAGCACACACACACCTATTAGTTTGGCAATAACAAACTCGTATATCTCTTAATGGTCAAGGATGAAAATTTCAAGTTAACACTAGATAGTCATGACAATAACCCAAAATAAAGAATAAGCACCCACAATAATTAAATAAAAAAACTAATTGTTTTTCGTAGGCAATTTATCTTTGTTAGAAATCAGTTAATGTTCAATGTCATGACATTTTTTTCAATGATGTCTCTTTATTTTGTACTAAAAAATCTTCAAAATCTTCTTGATTGATAAAAGTATAAAATTTTTGATATAAATTTACCTTTCCCAGATATGTAGGTACATAAAAAATTAAAAAATGTATTGTTAAATTACATGTTGGTAATATGCTCTAATAAAGTTTATTTATTTTTTTAAGACGCTCGACTGAATATTCAAGAAATAATAACATTAATACAGTTTTATTAAATGTAACATTTATGGAATCTTGAATTTTTAATTTAAAAAGACCAATTATGGTTAATGAATAATTCCTATAGGTCGTCTAATATTAAAACCGAGTGGAAATAATTAAGTAAATCAATAAGCTCATCATATTTAAAATAATTTTAATAGCTACTTGTGTTAACATACACAATGAAAATCTATAAAATATTATTTTGTGTTCTTCAATCAATAAGTGTCACCTATAAGATATGTAATAAAAAATTTATCACTTGTGGCTAATTAATTAAGTAAAATTAAAACTATATTAAAAATATTATTAATTTAAAAAACTAAAAAATATTAAAAATATTAAACTCAAAGTTTTTTAAATTAATAATATTTTTAATATAGTTTTAATTTTTCTTAATATAAGATATGGTTATTTATGTCATTATTAAATTGATATTATTTTAAAATAATAAAATTTATTTTCTTAGATTCATTTTTAAAGAGTATATATCAAAAAAAAATTCAACTGAACAGTAAGATATATTATTGTTATGTAAAACTGAATCCGTTCGTACTTATAACTGTTGAATAAAAAACATATATTTTAATGAATCACTCTTTCACTTATTG